TAATTTCTTAAATAAAGATTTTGTTTAATTAATTTTTTTTACCAAAAAATTAAAGGAATTACAATTTAATTTCATACAAAAATAATTTTTATCAAAAATTATAAATAGCACGTGGTTAATTTTGTGAGGTTATGAGGGTGTTAATCTTTTTTCATGCGTAATTAAATTCGGACCTGATCTTATTTTCATAAATTAAAATTATTTTTTTAATAAACTTTAAACATATTTTATTATTTTTTTAAAAAAATAAATTTTTAGATGATTAATCATATTTAAAAAAAAATTGTTGATAATTTTTTTATTTTTTTGATTTTTTAAAAATATTTTTATTTAATGATCCCAAAATCATTACCACAACTTAAAAAAATTAAAATTTTAAGTTTTAAAAATGTTTGTTTCATGTAAAAATAAAAAAATAAAAAAAAATGAAAGTAGGCCATGGGCATGCCTAAACATTGACTTTATTTCCTATTTGGTCATGTATTTAGACTTTCCTTATTGCCTTTTATGTAAGTAACAAAAGTAATAGTGTGGGGCCATTATTACAAGGATGTTGCATGACATCGTGCAAGTGTCCAAAGCCATGGTGTTGGGGGCGGGGGGGCCTGTATTGAAAGGATGTGCATTGAATATATTTCCCTAGTCATATTTTTGTTTAGTCAAAAAAACGAATAAGTCCAAAAAGTTCATTCTAGTTAAATTTTTATAATAATTAAAAATCTTAAAATATAAAACTTAAAGTTTGTTCTCAATAAAATTTATTTTCATGTATATTTAATTTGAACTATACCTATACAAATTTTATATTATTTAAAATTAATTACAAGTTTAATTTTATGCATTATTAGTTTTTTTATTATTTGGATTTTTGTGTTCATTTTAATTTAATCTTTCATATTTTAATCTATATTTGATATATTTTATTTTTATACACTTTAAATTTATGCATAATAATAATAATAGCTATAATAATAATTATTATTATTTTAAAGAAAGAAGAAATGTATACAAAATATGTAACAATATAAAAACTCATTTTTTAGAAGAATTATAAAAATAAACTTGCTTCAAAAATTCGTTTAGATGTTAAAATTTTTTAAAAAATTTGTAAATTTTTAAAATTTAAACCCAAACATATCCAAACCCTAAACTCGTTTTAAATTTCTAAAGATTTATATAAAACTCTTTTATAAAGTAATATATTTTCGAATATTGCTTAGATGTTAAAATATTTAAAAAATTTATTTTATTAAAAATTTTTATACATTTTCGTAGTTCAAAATAAATTTATTTTGTTAAAATAACAAATATAAAAATATAAAGTAGTAAAAAATTATAAAATGAGATTTTAAATATAAATAATTACATCCAAAATTTATGTAGAGTTCAGGTAACCTCTTTATATTTGAAAATCCAATTAAAAATTCACTTGTTATCATTATTTGCTTATGTATCATTTTTTAGATTAATGTGTTCATTTGTAATGCATATATATATTTGTTTTAATTATTGATGTTCAAAATTAATTATATTTTTTTATTGTTAAAAAAATTCTTAAAAAAATAATTTTATATAAATAAAATTAAAATAGTATTATGAAGAATGTAATTATTGGTACACTACTTAGATTAATAATTATCATTTATAAAAATATTATTTTATTATTTTTGAATGAATATTACGATAAATCTTAGATGAAAAGACTATTTTTGAATTTTACCTTTTTATTGAAAAATTAGAAGGTATTTCTTTAATATAAAATTTTCATAATATTTTTAAATAAAGATTTTGTTTAATTAATTTTCTTTGGTAAAAAAATGAAAAGAATTACAATTAAATTTCATAAAAAATCATTTTTATCAAAAATTATAGATACCCCATGATTAATTTTGTGGACACTATGAAGGTGTTAATCATTTCTCATTCGTAATCAATTTTCAAATCTAATCTTATTTGCATATATCAAAACTGTCTTTTTAATAAACTTTAAACATGTTTTATTATTTTATTAAAAAGATAAATTTTGGATGGTTAATCATACTCTAAAATAAATTAATGACGACTCTTTTATTTTTCTCAACTTTTTAAAAATATTTTTTGTTAAGTGATTTCAAAATTATTATGACAATTTGATGACTCCATTAGGGACGTTTTTTAGAATTAAGTAAAAAATTAATCATACGTTATTTGAATTGCTAGATTCTACAATTTTAGTTGATATTTAATTGTGATTCCCTTCATTTAATTCTTTCAAAAAACATTTCATGCTAGTATCTTATTGTGATTTTGTCATTTGTCTTTCTTTTACATTGTTTGATTGATTGATATATCTCTTTGCACACACTCTACATATGCCTTTTATGTATAAATACAACCCTGTAGGTTCCTGAGTGGCACAAGATGGACTTCTCGAAAGCAGATAAATTAGAGAGCCAAAATGAGCTTCCACAGCCACAGCAACCAAGCAGCGGCACCAGCTTCCTTAGAACTTGTCTCAATGGACTCAATGCCTTATCAGGTTCCTCTCTTCCTCTGTCTTTAGATGTGCAGGATGACTAGGTCCATATATCAGGTTCCTTAATCATAAATTAGCTCCCAGTGACCGGAGCCATTTGTCACATCCTTTCCAGGTTTTGATGCAATCGTCATGTTCATGTCTTTATGCTGATATTCTCTTCCTCGTGTCAAAAGAAAATTTACACATGGTCTTGATTAAACAAGGTTTTTGCTTCTTTAAAGTATATTAAGAAACCAAAAAAGTTTTAATTACCATCTTTAGAATAGGAATCTAGTAATGCAATAAAAAATCAAATAAAGACATAGTTCCAACATTGTCAGCTACATGAATCCTTTACTTCCACTTTCATTGGTCAATAACATTTAAAGAATCAATATCTACATTTGATCATTATGAATTAACAGCTGATACAATTGATCTATATCCAGATGCATTAAGTCATCACTATGCTAGCCAACTATGCTAGTAATTCTCTTCAAACACTCCTTGCACTGTAACTCGAATACGTTAAAACAAAGTTGAGCAAAGTGTTTAAAATCTTAGTTATTTTAAAATTTATCAGGGCACCATGTTTCCCATGGTTAAGATCAAGCTAATTACTCTGTCCCTCAGGAGTCGGGATACTATCAATTCCGTATGCACTTGCTCAAGGAGGATGGTTAAGCTTATTGCTTCTTTTCCTGGTAGCTGTTCATTGTTGGTACACAGGACTACTTCTACGACGCTGTATGGATATGAATCCACTCATCAAAACCTATCCTGACATAGGTGAACATGCTTTTGGATATAAGGGGAGAGCTATTGTATCTGTGTTCATGTATGTTGAGCTGTATCTGCTTGCAGTTGAGTTTCTGATATTAGAAGGTGACAATCTGGACAAGCTGTTTCCAAACATGGGGTTCAGAGTTGCTGGGTTGAAAATTGGAGGAAGGCAAGCCTTTGTTCTACTGACTTCTCTTATAGTTTTGCCAACTACAAGGCCGAAGAGTTTGGGCATGCTTGCCTATGCTTCTGTTGGTGGGGTTTTGGCTTCTTTTATTCTTATTGTTTGCATTTTTTGGGTTGGAGTATATAAAGTGGAGTTCCATGAAAGTGATGTGCTTTTAAATTGGAGAGGAATGCCTACTGCTATAAGCGTGTTTGCCTTTTGTTATTGTGGGCATTCAATTTTCCCCACATTATGCAGCTCAATGAAAGATAGAAGCCAGTTCTCCAAGGTAAGAGAGTGATACTCTAGAATTTCTACATAGAGATGAAAATCTTCCATCATAAGTGATAACCGGTGTATGTTAATGATCTTTTAGTCCAAAAACTGATAGATTGGATCAAGTTTTTGGGGTAAATAGACCATTTCATGTCACGATTCTATCAACTGATCACTTCATGTTTTCAGTATTAACCAAAAATTATTTTTCTCTATAACTCATCTCGCCATTCCCATTGCGGTTTATCTTATTGCAGGTTTTACTTGTTTGTTTCATCATAAGCACCATCAACTATGGATCACTGGCTGTTCTGGGCTATCTGATGTATGGAGAACATCTGAAGTCTCAAGTGACATTAAATCTTCCTATAAATAAGATTAGCACAAAAATAGCAATTTATGCTAGTCTAATCAATCCCCTCACAAAATATGCTATTGAAATTGCTCCAATTGCTACTGCCATTGAAGAAAATTCACTCTTCCGCAGCAGCAGGTCTCTAAGCATCCTCATTAGAACAGCAATTGTGATCAGAACAGCAATTGTGATCAGCACAGTAATTGTTGCCTTAACCATCCCATTTTTTGGCTACGTGATGACATTTATAGGATCATTTTTGAGTGTCACCGCGTCTATGTTGCTGCCATGCCTGTGCTACCTAAAGATTAACAAAGATGCTCAAAAATTTGGGTTGGAGTTGGTAATAATTGTTGCTATTTTGGTTGCTGGGTCATTTATAGGTGTAGTAGGAACCTTCATCTCCATAAAACAAATTGTAAACCATCTATGAATTATTGAAATGGACATATATAGAGGCAATGAGACAAGCAAAACTCATGTCTCTAATAAGAGAACAATACAAACTACAGACAACAATTTCACGGTGATGTCTGACTAGTTTTAGTTCAGCTTGTGTCTTCTATCAAAGCTACTTATATTGTAGAACCAATAGAAAAATATGAAAGGCTTAAGAAGCAATGGTGTGGCCTAATGATTTATATGTTTATCCTTTCAAAGAAAGATTGTTGAGGTCCAGGTTTCAATTTCCACTTCCCCCATGCTTGTCCAAATGTATACAAAAAGATAGAAAACTGACAGAAGACAGTAAACAATTGTAACTGAATTCTGTTCCATCCAGTTCTGTCATCTCAGTTCGAATGGAAAGTTACTAAACAAACCACAACGTGACAAAGCCAGAAGATAACTAAAAGCAATGAGGCATAGAAAGTAACAATCTAGTTCATCTAAAAGAGATCATGAGGAAAAGTCATTATGCCTAAATGAAACTGAATATAAAGTTGCTTAATTGTAATGTAATAGAAAATTACTTTTAAGCAGCTAAATAATATTGTCATGAAAATCAAAGCAGATATTATACATGGAGTATTTCATGGATAGCTTGGATCAAGATAGATGCTCCTCGCAGGGAATTTAAAGTGTAAGATGATTTCAGAATATCTCACACTGAAAAGTAATAAAAATCAAAATATTAGAGTTCCGCTTTTAGAGTGACCCTCTATATAATCTTCACTAATTGGCATCCCAGAAATTAAAGGCACACTTATTTCATGCAAACCTTCCATGTCATATCTAACATATTATCCTCATGAAATTGGCAATCTAATTGCCTGTGCATATGCTTTCCAGTTCCTTCTTGCAGTGAGCAATTGTTCTTAGACCGAGCTTGACGCCGAATTTGAGTCAAGCGTGTTATCCCTCCAACAAACTTGCCATGTGAACATCCGGTTATATCGTCTTGCATTGATACATGATTTCCAGAACGAGCTTGACGGCGAATTTCAGTCAGGCGGGTTTTACTTCCTTGCAAGCGCCTATAAGTGCCCTTTTGGATACTCTGTTGCATGAATGATTGGCTTTTATGGCGAGCTTGGCGTCGGATTTGACTTAACCGGGTCACTGTTCCTTCACCATGAGATCCATCGCCTTCATTTCTCTCATGAGCAAATAGGGGCATTTCATCAGCTTTATCCCAATTATTATCTGAAAAAAAAAAAGAAACAAAAAGCAATCAGACAGTTTCAGAAAAAGTTGTGACAATGTATTGCTAGATAAGAATGTTACAAAAGCCATGAATTGTTAGAACTGGCTGAGACCTGTAACAGTATCTGTAGCCATAAAATCATTAACATTTTCTTGCAAATGTTCAACCTCCATGGTAGAATCTAACATTGATAATGGATAATTAGTGACATAACATGAGTCATAACCTTCGTGATCTTGAGTATTTAGATGTACTGTACGTATGTTATCCTCAGATTCTGACATTAACTCAGCAGAGTTTGCAAGGATCAACAGACGGTTATTGCCTCCCTCAGAATTGTTTTCCTTAGTTAATTTCCCTTCAAACAATAGTCTTTTTTCAGTAGGACAAACTCTTTCATCTTCAATTTGTTTCCATACTTCATAACCTCGAGCATTTTGGCTACCATTTGCACAAATTGTAGCATCAAATTGCTGTGCAGTTGCATTCCATTGTTTCTTCCCCCAACCTCCCTGTTCAAGCAGCTCTTCCGGGACAGCCTCACTTAACCCTTCTTTCTGACATTCGAACAGCACAATCTTCTTTTGTTGTGCACTCTGTTTGATGGTCATTTCGAGTTGTTTACAGCAAAGACCAACGGGAAAAGAGTCCAGCTAGCAACAATCTATCATCATCTGTTTTCCCAGGAATGTTAACCATCGTTAAAAACAACAACAAAAGCATAATAGCATAACCCATTCTTAGTTCCTAGTAACAATCAAGAACTTGAAACAAAAACATGAATCTGAAGATGCAATAAAACACAATCCACTAGCATTTGCAACCATTCAAAACAAGCAAGCATTTAAACACCATTGTCAAGTTTAACATTAAAATCAAAGGATACACAGAAAAGATAATGTGGAACATAATGTAAGTTTTGTCTCGAAAAAATTTAACTGATACATGAGTTAAAAAGTAAGTGCATATATAAATAATGGGTAAGAACAAAGAAGACAATAAAAACAAGATTCCTGGGCATCACCAGAAAGTACATTTTTAAACAATGAAGAGACAATGTGACGACGAAAAAACCAAAATATCTGAGAAAAAAAATTATGTATAAGGAAACCCTAAAAGCGGAGTCTCCGGGGAATCTAATGTTTGCTTGCTCTTTTCGGTTCGGCTCCCTTGCATATTTTACAGTGTGTTTACTTGTACCAAAAGAATGTACAATTTAGTTACGTGGCATCATATTAATATTAGTTACTTTTTAAATTATATTCATGAATGCATCCGATTGTTATTTCATTAAATAAAAGATTTATATTTAATGTTAAATTTTATATACTATTCATAAATAAAATAAAATTATTTAAAATAAATTAAATGATATCGTATCATTAATAAATAATTTTTTAATAAATATTAATTTTTATATATTTATTAATAAAATAATATTATTTAATTTATTAACATTCTACGTACTGAAAATATATCACATATAAACTCTTACAAAGAAACAAGGTGAAGCTCTTATCTTTACATGGTGTAGCTTCCCTCCACAAACCTTTGAAAAAAAATATTTCCACTTTCAGGGTTTTATTTGTTGCTATGGCGGCAGCGCTATCCGCAATGACTTCAATTTCTCCTCCAAAATCAAAACCCAATGGAAAAATCTCAAGAATTGAGTTGGAGCCCATAAACCCAGCACAAAACCCCCTTTCACTTCTACCCAAGTGCGCCTCTTTGAAAGAACTAAAGCAATTCCAAGGCCTTGCAATCAAAACCCATCTCCAAAATGACCTCACTGTCCTCACCAAGCTCATCAATTTCTGTACCAAAAACCCAACTTTCACCTCCATGGAATACGCCCACAAACTATTTGACAAAATTTCCCAACCTGATATTGTCCTTTTCAACACCATGGCTCGTGGCTATTCCCGCTCCAAAACCCCAATCCAAGCCATTCCCCTCTTTTGTCAGCTTCTTTCCTTTGGTTTCCTGCCTGATGACTACACTTTCCCATCTGTTCTTAAAGCTTGTTCAAGTGCTAAAGCCTTGGAAGAAGGTAAACAAATTCATTGCCTTGTTACCAAACTTGGGCTTAATCATAACGTTTACGTATGTGCCAGCCTTATTAGTATGTATACTGAGTGTAATGATGTGGATTCGGCTCGCAGAGTCTTTGATAAGGTGTTGGATCCTTGTGTTATTTCGTATAATGCTATTATTACTGGTTATGGTAAATGTAGCAGACCAAATGAGGCTTTGCCGTTGTTTCGTGAATTGCAAGTTAAAAGTTTGAAGCCTACTGATGTTACTATGTTGAGTGTTCTGTCTTGTTGTGCTTTGTTAGGAGCGTTGGATTTGGGGAAGTGGATACATGAATATGTTAAGAAACATGGGTTTGATAATTTTATTAAAGTGAGCACCGCAGTTATTGATATGTATTCCAAGTGTGGGAGCTTGGAGGACGCAATTTGTGTTTTTGAGAGCATGAGTGTAAGAGATACACCGGCTTGGTCAGCAATGATTGTGGCATATGCAACCCATGGGAAGGGTTATAAAGCCATCGAAACATTTGAAGAGATGAGAAAGGCAGGGGTGCAACCCGATGAGATCACGTTTTTAGGTCTCTTATATGCTTGTAGTCATAATGGACTCGTGGAAGAAGGTTGGAGGTATTTTTCTAGGATGAGTGATAAGTACGGCATTTTTCCTGGGATTAAGCATTATGGATGCATGGTTGATTTACTTGGTCGAACAGGACACTTAGATGAAGCTTATAAGTTCATTGATGAATTGCCAATCAAGCCTACACCAATATTATGGCGAACATTGTTAGCTGCTTGCAGTAGTCATGGTGATGTGGAATTAGGAAAGAGGGTGACTGAACGAATTTTTGAACTAGATGACTCTCATGGTGGAGATTATGTAATCTTATCCAACTTATGTGCAAGAGCTGGGAGATGGGAAGATGTTGATGTCCTAAGGAAATTGATGAAAGATAGAGGGGTGGTAAAGATTCCTGGTTGTAGCTCCATAGAGGTGGACAATATAGTGCATGAATTCTTCTCTGGGGATGGGGTGAATACTGAGTCAACATCTGTGCATAAAGCACTCGATGCGTTAATGAAGGAATTGAAGATGGTTGGCTATGTACCTGATACTTCTCTAGTTTTTCATGCAGAAATTGGTGAAGAAGAGAAAGAAATTTCACTTAGATATCATAGTGAGAAATTGGCCATTACATATGGACTCCTAAACACTCCCCCTGGATCAACAATTCGTGTGGTAAAGAACCTACGCATCTGTGGGGATTGCCATGCTGCAGCTAAACTTATATCACATATCTTTGGTAGGCAGATAATTCTCAGAGATGTCCAACGATTCCATCACTTCAAAGATGGAAAGTGCTCTTGTGGGGATTTCTGGTAACAGAGTTTCTTGAACTCAATGTGTAAAATAATCACTGGAGAAGGAGACTCCCTGGTGTTGCCCTGTGAGAGAATTACTACCAACAACTGCAGTGTTTTAACCGAAAATTCATTGGTCATGATTTGTGCTATGCAAGAAAAGAGCTATCTGGGTTGATTCCAGTTATTTGTGTTCCATAAGCCAATGACGTTTCATTTCAGAAGTTGGGCGTAGTGGTCTTGGACATTTGGAGTTCCAAGACTCGAAAACTCGAAGTTCCCTTTGTATGCACTCCTTAATATAGCTGCTTATGTAAAGGCTAATGTTTCATTCATTGTAATTCCTTTGATACCGTGAATAATATCCTAAGGACTTTGTGAACCAATCAAAATGGATTCAAAGTCTCATCGTGTTGAGCTACATGTTCAAAACAAAAAAGTACTTACTAAACAGTTAGAATAAGAACATTTTATTCTTCATTTTAATATCTTTTTTGGCCAAAATTTTCTTTTTTAGTTAGAATGATAAATTAAGTTGAGTTTCTTTTTATATATCAATAGTGATATTTTTTATCTTCACAAACATAATCAAAAGTTTGCATTTGTTAAAGGTATGTGCTATCTGTTAATTTTGATGGTGAAATTTAAAATTTCTATTGCCAATGAATATAATAATCATTAATATTTTTTAATCAAATTAAAATATATTAAAAATTATAAGAATTAAAAAATGAATTAAAAAAATCGATAAGTTTAATCTTATCTAACAAAAAAATCAAAAAAGTTAAAACAACAAAAAAAAACTCGTAGACTTTATTACTTTATTTAGATAAATATCTATACTTTTATTACATCAAACAAATTTTTAAATTTTAATTTATATCTAAATAAATTTTTAATTTTTGAGTTGAACCTCAATTAGCTTTTAATATAAATTAAGTTTTTTATTTGAAATAAAAATTTATTTGGATATGAATTCAAAAATAAAATTTTATTTAAATATAATAAAAATATAAAAACTTAATTAAAAAAATAAAATAATTCATAAATTTTTTAGTATTTAAGCCAAATGTAAGCTGTTTTTAACAAAATCATATGACAGCTTAGTCATATTTTGAAAAAAGAGAAGGAAAGAAAAACGCCCGTCCAAGGACGGCTGGCCATGTCACAGATCAGCCAACAAGTTGCCACGTGGATCTCATTCATTAGGCTTTCTAGTCAAAGTCGAAGCGGCGGACCCTAGTCAAAATCTCGGTTGTGTCTTTGTTTATTTTACTTGGCGGACCGGAAAACGGTTTTATTTCCCACCGTTGAGCCCAAACGACTTGAAAGTTCAAAGAAGAAAGTCCAAAACGGCAGAGACCCAACGTTTTCTCTCCAAAAACGTTATCTTCAAATTCTCTATACGACTCGTCTATTCGCCAGTAAGTTTCAGTCTCCGACATTACCTGAACCAGTTTTTCTTCTTAATTTTTGCTTATAACATTCTTTATGGTTAAGTTTCTTCTTTTTTTTTTTGAAAATTTTGAAGTTAGAAAATGCTTTTTTCTTTTTCTCAATTTTCGCTTTTTCTTTTCGTCTTTTGAGTGTTAGTGCAATGCGTTTGGATCTGTATCGATTTTTTTTTTTGGGTTTTTTGTTTGGTGTAATTTTTGTTTTAGTTTCGTTTCCGGGAAAATCTGAGGTAATTAGAAGCTGATGGAAGATTTAAATCTTGTTTTCTTTCTTTTTTTTTTTTGGAAATTTTGGAGTTTGAAGCTTATGTGAATTAAGGGAAGGTGGTAATCAAGCTAGTTCCAGTAGGAAAAAGATCATGCCGTTGAATCCGAGTTTAATTGACAATAAATCCGGATTTTATTTCTATTTAATTTTTATTTCTTTTCCTTCGATTTCTCGCCAACCAATCATAGCTGTAATGACTGTTAATTTCAACTGTTCTCTTTTTATTTATTTATTTATTTATTTATTTTGCCTGCCAAAGCGAATTCTTTAGTCAGATATGGCAATGACATTTCCTGTAATATAAAGAACTTTTTTTATTGAATAGGTAAATTTTATTATGGCTTTAGTGCAAAATGAGAACAAAATCAAGTTTATAATTTCAATTAAAAAAAGATAATTTACTGATATTCTGGGGCAGACATCAAAATTTTGAATCTTGTTTCAATATTGCAACCAAAAAAAAAATTTGTTGTTTGAACTAGATTTTTTTATTAATGGCTTGCTTAATCTAAGAAGGATCAGCTGTTTGTTTTAATGTTGTGGTCCCCACCCACCATAGCATTGGCCATCCAAATTGTTTTCTCTTAAGCTTTAAGTTCTTCCTGTTTGCTACAGGTGTCTTCTGGTTTCATTTAGTCATATTACGGAATTTTATATGGCTAAGTTTCTTGTTTGTTTCAGTCAACAAAAATATAATATGACCATTGAAAGAGTAATTTTAACTACTCCCTCCAAATTGAGCAATTGGGTTGGCACAGCTTGATGCATTTGACTTATACATTTTTGTCATCTGTGGCAACTGTTGCGAATTGATTATTGTGTGCTTCGGAGATGTTCTTTTAGTGTTTTGTAAATCTTAATGATGATACTGATGAGATGTATGACACTTGTCTTTGGATGAACTTGGTATAGCGTATCAATGTTGAATAGGGTAGTGGCAAACAGCAAAAGTGGATGTCCAGGTTTGCGGTTTCATTTGTTTTATTTTCTTGTATCGGTGTACTTGTTTTGTAGCACTGTTTCTATGTTTGTTTGTATTATGGACACATTACTTATACCTTGTGGCAAATTTTGATAACTTTTATAATGGACTAATTGGTTTCAAATTCTGTCACAGCGTGACAGTCTTATGCCAGATTCATGACAAAGAATATTTCAGGAAATTGCTACATGGTTACAGAAATATTTCAGGAAATTGCTAAATGGTTACAGAACACTTGAGTTTTTGTACAACAAGCCAGAAGGGCGTGCTTGCAAATTTTGGTAGTTGGCTCAGCTGGACAGCTGGTTGAGAATGAAAGCTGAAACACTCCATCTGAAGAGGTGAAATGATCCTTCAACATTTAATCTTAGGCCGTTGACTGTCTGTACAAAGTGCACCCTTATTTTAACTATTAATTAACTTGACCTATTGCCTGCAGATTAAAATTTCATGCTCAATTTAAATAATGATTACCAGTTGCTGGCATATGGGTTCTTTAAATTTGATCATTATGAGAATAAGTTTCTGAACTTTTTAATGCAACTGTGTAATCAGCAGAATGAAGAGATGGTATGGTGGTGCTCTTGTTGCATCCTTGTTTATGTTGCTGGTCCTGAGATACGGTATCATGAAAACTGCTGTTGAAGAAAGTTACTTGACAAATCCCTTCTCCTTCAATGGAACCAATCCACTTGATTGGGTGCATTTTACAGGTCCACCTGCAGTCCAAAATCCTGAAAATGCTTCTCAAGTAATCTCCATTGATACCATAACCTTCAGTCTCTTTGCTCAAAGGAACCTCTCCAAGGGAGATCAACAATCTTTGCTGACCTGGAATTTGTTGAAGTACTTAATTAACCATTCTCAAGCTTTACCAAATGGAGTAGATGCTATCAAGGAAGCTGGAAGGGCATGGAGTAGCCTGATGGCTTCAATTGAAAAGGAAAAACTTGTTTATGCCAATTGTAATTCATCTAGGAAAGCAAAAGAGAAGCAGTGTCCCCATTTTCTTAATAAAATGAATGCTACAGAACCTGACAAGAGTCATTATAATCTGCAATTTCCTTGTGGCCTCACTCAAGGCTCTTCGATTACAATCATTGGCATTCCAAATGGTCTTCTTGGTAATTTTCGCATTGACTTAACAGGGGAAGCACTACCAGGGGAGCCTGATCCACCAATAGTTTTGCATTACAATGTTAGGCTCCATGGGGATAAGATAACTGAGGATCCTGTAATTGTCCAAAACACCTGGACTATAGCACATGATTGGGGTGAAGAAGAGCGTTGTCCGCCCCCAACAACTGACAAGAATGTAAAAGGTAGAAAGACCTGTCACATCTTTTTGATACATTGATTACAAAAAGAATTAGAATCTTTCTTCTTGTTTTATGTTAAATTAAGGTCCATATACCACATGTATATTTTATGCTCCTGAGGTTGAGATGCACATCCTCTTCATCTTGAAGTGCTCTTTTTACCATATTCAATACCAAACATGCAATTTGTCATATCTTTCGGATAACACATTAATGGAGACTGGAAATTCCATCAACTTAGAAGCTTCTTCAACCTATTGGTGACATTAGGCTTTGTCTTGCCAAGAAACTTTATTGCTTAATGAAGTTAACTAACAACTAGCTGCCTTAGCTTCAGCTACAAAAATGCTTTACCTTCATTATGTGCAGTGGAATAGGATATTTCAACTTCATGTAAACTTCTAACTGCTTCCTCTACCTCTCCTTTTTCATTTTTTAAAAATTGTTTGCATCCATGAGGCATGTAACTGCATCTACATTTATTTTGTTTTTTTTTTTTTTTTTGTGAGGTAACTCTACTTAGTTTCTTTTTCCAGTGGATGAGTTGGACCAGTGTAATAAATTGGTTGGTAGAGATAATAACCGGACGGTTAGGATGTATTCCCATGGTTCAAGGAGGTCTTCAATGGGGCTACAAGGAGTTAAATCCAAAAGATATTTTCCTTTTAAGCAAGGTTCTCTTTTCGTTGCAACTCTTAGTGTAGGATCAGAGGGAATACAGATGACAGTTGATGGAAAGCACGTAACATCCTTTGCTTACCGAGAAGTAATTTCTGTCATCCTCCTTTCCTCTGTAGAATTTGTTAAATAATTAATAGTTTCATAGAACTTACTGGCTTATTGGCTGCTTTTATGTTTAGACATTGGAGCCATGGCTTGTTAGTGAGGTTAGGATTTCTGGAGATGTGGAATTAATTTCTATCCTGGCTAGTGGTTTACCAACTTCAGAGGATTCAGACCATACAGTTGATTTAGAATCACTTAAATCAGTTCCTGTCTCTAGACAAAGACCAGTGGATCTCTTTATTGGTGTTTTCTCTACAGCCAATAATTTTAAACGGAGAATGGCTGTGAGAAAAACATGGATGCAGTATCCTGAAGCTCGGTCTGGGACAATTGCAGTGCGCTTTTTTGTTGGTTTGGTACAATTTCCATGTGAATTTTTCTTGCGCAAAATTACTATTTGTTTATGGTTTGTAGTTCTAGTTCTACAGTAGAAAAGGAAAAACCATTCTCTTAAAGTAATACATGGTCGAGATGTTCTAGCCACAAATGCTATGATTCATAAATATGGTTCTTGAATCTTGATTCATGTTTTCAAGCCATTGTTGCACCACTAACCTGCTTAGGATTTTGTGCTAGCAGCATTATATGTTGTTAGAGGTCTCGAATCTCGATAATGGGTGCAATATTCATTATGTTTCTCTGTTTTTAGACCATTGTTGTACCAATAGGTAGTTTACATTGCTTTAATGTAGTAAGTTGCTTCAGCACTAGTTCATCATTTTTTTGTAGTCATATCAGACACCTAAGCACTGTAATGCACTCATTGTTCAGCTTGCAATGGCACCGATCTTATCTTTTTAAATATAAATAGTTAGACAGCTGAAAGTTTCGGTGTAAGTTGTATCTTTCTTGAAACTGTCAAGTTTGTGGTTTTAAGTTCTATAGTCATACATAATAACTTACCAAGTTTGAGATGTTCTGCAGCATAAAATCCAAATAGTGAATCAGGAACTCTGGAATGAGGCAGTGACATACGGAGACATACAGCTGATGCCTTTTGTTGATTACTACAGCCTGATCACCTGGAAAACTTTAGCTATTTGCACCTTTGGGGTAAAGTCTTTATCCCTTTCTTCAAATAAGGAAGATTTTTCATTTTCTTATAGAACTCATCTCTTCAACAGACAGAAGTTGTTTCTGCAAAGTTTGTCATGAAGACAGATGATGATGCATTTGTCTGCATTGATGAAGTAATGGCTTCATTAATCAGGATAAATGTGACCCATGGATTGCTTTATGGACTCATTAACTCAGATTCCCAACCTCATCGCAACACAGACAGCAAGTGGTTTATCAGCCTTGAGGTATTCTTCACTCAATTTCCTCAAATGGTTTCAACTATACTGACTTGGCACAATGTCAGTGGATAGCGAATCATAAGCTCTAAATTTTTGCTTGTTATGAGCAATGATTGGAAAACAGAATGTGTTAGCCTTTCTTAATTTGGATTAGCTTCATGTTAGGTTTGTTCAGTCAAAATCATTTTGTGTCTTGCAATCATTTTCATAAAAGCAACATTCATTATGATCACAGAAAAGAAAGAGAAAACAAGTGCTGCTTTTTTTCACAATATTCCATACATAGCTCACCTTTACCGCAAGGTCATTAGATGGATCCCTCTAACTCAAGTTAAAGCAACTCAAAGCTTTAGTTTGTTCATAATGTTACTGTAGGCTGCACAGGCATCTCCGTTCATAGCTACTGACAACTCACCATTGTTTAACCGTAATGGGATAAAATTCATCTTCTGCTTATTAATATCTTCTCCGAATGTTGTGCTCGATGAAGGAATGGTCTGAAGAGAAGTACCCGCCTTGGGCACATGGTCCTGGTTATGTGGTGTCCCACGACATAGCTACCGCTGTTTACAAGAGGTTCAATGAGGGGCGCTTAAAGGTACATTGAAAGTTTTACCTCGTCCTTTTTCCTAGTTTTGTTGTTTTTGGAATGCAATAGGTATTCGCTCTTAAATCTATGCAAGCATGGGAAGTTATTGGATTAGGATTTCCTTCCCTTGTGTGGATAATTCTCAATGTCAAGCACATGTCTTGAATAACAGATGTTTAAGCTAGAAGATGTGGCAATGGGTATTTGGATTGTAGATATGAAGAAAGAAGGTTTAGAAGTCCGGTATGAGAAGGAAGAGAGGATCTTTAATGAGGGTTGCAAGGATGGATATGTTATTGCCCACTATCAAGGTCCAAGAGAGATGATGTGTTTGTGGCAGAAGCTCCAGGAGACAAAAAGAGCTAGATGCTGTGGTGATCCATAAGCATAGGCTGACACTTGAGGAATACAATGGTTTTTAGGTGCTTTAACAATCAATATCCACAGTTGCGTTTCATCACCAGCACTTTTCCAGCGCTAACTTTAACTTGACAAGGAATCGATGCGGGAAAAAATTGGTCCATGCTGATATTATTGATATGGATTAAGAAAATTCAGACCGAGGAAGTATATTTTGGTCTACCTCTTTTCCTTTCATTTTTTTGAACTTTTTTTACCATAGGTGGATGGGGTTAGTGATTATTGTTGTACAATTAGCATTATTTTTGTAGAGCATACATGTAATCAGCATTTTACTTGGGTAAAATGAAATTCTTAGCAGAAATGGTAGATTGATGATGCCTTGTATAGAGAAGCCATAGCTGTAGGAAATTACAGGTTTTACCCTAGTCCGATCTGATGTGCACTGTTCTATGTATTATTATTGTATTTGTTTCATGGTGCTTATAGCCGCAGTGTACTTTGTTGTGCAGCCGATTATAATTAGCGTTGCCACAATTTGTTGACATTCATTACATGTAGCAACGCTCTTTCGACTATTTCATGTCCCTTTCACACTTTGTTTTCATCGAATCCAATTGTAATTAGTAAAAATCAGTTTAAACTCAACTCAGATGATAAGGATATGGAGTTCGGATAAAGATCCTACGTTGAAATCATAGTTTTCTATGCCAAAAACCAATACATAAAAGATGGTTTGCTTCATTAATATAGTTTAGCAGTCCTACCAACCTTCTCTAGGCATTTATATCGGCTAGACAGGTGAAGCATCCATCTAACTGATCATGGGCAAGCTAACAGTCGACAAATCTTGAAAAAGATAAGCTGAGTTCCCAGTTCCTACATTGGAGAAACATTGCTTGATTACTAATATTGAAACAAGGGTTGACAGAACATTGGATTCATTTCTATCGTGGCAAGAACCCATGATGAGCTATGGCAATATCAAAGGCTTGCATTCTTTCCCCGCGTGCAAATCCATTGCGATCATAATATGATATTTCGTTTATGTTAAGATCAACACAAGCCTTGACAAGCTCTTCACCAACACGTTTAGCTGCTTCCTGAAAATACAAACACCAGTTGGATCATACAAATGAAGAAAGAACAGAGACTATACGGATCACTCTTATCACTCTTCTCGTATGCCTTAGACAGTGATCTAAAGCCAAAATTTCTCTCCATAGGTATGATATGGAGTACTTACACTGGTGGTGCAAGTGGGATCATCACGAATAGATTTCTGCAAAGTGCTTCCGTAAAATAAACACTTCTTGTTTTTGTCATCCACCAGCATAGCATATAACTGCTTGTCTGAACAGAACACTGACAGTCTTGGTCTTCTAGATGTGCCATTAAACTGGCAATAACATTGAAAAGATATGACTGATAAGCATGCAAAAACCCATGAAATCTATTTCAAGCAATGTAGAAAATGATTCAACAACCTTGGTGGTCCTAGCCATTGTATTGCACATTTTCTCAACAGGAAAAGAAAGCATACCTTCTTTCGCATTCTTCTGTTCCTAACTTTTGCGCTATCTGTTCTAGTATTTGCCTTTGCTTCAATGACTAATGTCTTCACAAAAAGATCTATGGAAAATCACTTGATTTTACATTCTACCCAGAACTCAAAAATGTATGCAAAATTTAGAAATGATAATTCACGCTTGCAGGACATTTGAGTCTAAAACATGTACCGAGTCATTAGAACCAGATGAAGAACAAGTATTAATAGTTAATAAGTGGAATTTATTTAGCTTACTTCTGTTTTGTAAAGGAAGGAAGTTGAAACATTTTGAATTGGAACCAAAAACATCACAAGTCTTGAACTGTAGTGCAGGGAAATTTGCCACAGCCATTCCTTATAGTTATTGAAACCTGTCAGTTCCCAGGAGCAAATAAGAACCTGATTGAAACCTGATAGACTTACATTACCCAGCTCACCTACAAATAAAACTAAACATGTTATATACAAAAGGCCCCAAAAAATCCCATTGACGAATTTTTAGCAAACACGTTATTCCAGGCTATATCACAATATTAACTTCAGCTAGACATTTCGACAAACACTTAGAGTTCATGAGAGTATTTTACCACTCCTGGATCCCTTCTCACTTATATCGCTTCAAGATAAAACCCACGATAAGACATGCAATCAAAAACTTTATCCCATTATGGCTTAAAAAATAACTTTTTTAAAAGCAACTTTTACTTTTTGGCTGGCTGAAAATGACCCCTCTTTTCTTACCTTACCCCCGAGATGTTTTTTTTATTAACCCAAAGATGTATTAGTATTATGGGCACCTATGTTTTTTGCCAACTCAAACTCACGTGGTGGCATAATAATCCTCATAGAATTGCTAAGAGTGTATGATTTTCATGCAAGTCTAATAAATTTCGGGCTAAACTACCGTAAGGGTCAAACTAAAACAAATCAAGAAAAGTTTCAAGGAGCACTACAATCATTTTACCATACCAATAACTTAAATTTTGGATCATGCCATAAGAATCTTTACAACCACAACAAAGAACAAACCTTTTTGCAGGCGTTATATTGGGTTAAATTTTAAAAATTTGTTATGTAATAAGTCGGTTGAAAGAAAGAGAATTAGAGAAATGAAAGATCATACCAGAATAGAAAGAAGAGAGAATTTAAGAAAATAAAAAGAAATTGTAAATTTTTATTCATACTCCTCAATCGCATGTACAATGTGATTATATTTAATACATGTGCTGACATCATAATTCTAAAATCTGTCCAACGCAAATTAAACACATAGTAAAAATAATTCAGAAATCAACTAATTATTTATATTCTGTCAGCTCCTATAACCATTTTCAGCATACTCATTTTTGTTGCTCCTTGTTGTGTGACTAACCTGAATATTCCATCACCCTTCCATAATGAACTTCCTCCTTCATTTCAACGTTTTTAGCCAGCTCAACTCTTTTGTCTACCTCAGCCTTTTTAGCCACCTCAGCTTCACCTTATGACCCTGACTTTACCATGTCAATATGATCACCATGCAATTTCATCACATGACCTTCCTCTCTAATTAATCATTGTCCTCAAGGATCAAATAAGGGAAACTGGGATTTAAAAACTGAATAATCTTCCCAAGTAGCATTCTCTAATCTAAGATTACACCATTCTACCAATAGTTGAGTGATTGCCTTGTTGTTTCTTTTAACCACCATTTTGTTAAGAACCCCAGCAAGATAAACTAATGGTTGCCCATCTTCATCCACTTCAGGAGGAGTTATCCTAGGCATAACCTTACTTTCAATTTTTTTCTTCAGAAGGCTCACGTGAAACACTGGATGTATCTTTGAAGTTTCAGGAAGTTAGAGTTTATAAGCTATTTTACCAATTTTGGCAACTACAGGATATGGACCATAGTATCTTGCTGAAAGCTTTAAGTTTTTTCTAAGTGCCAGAGAAGTCTGCCTATATGGCTGAAGCTTCAAATACACCTCATCCCCAACCTTAAATGCTCATTTAGTTTTATTTCTGTCAGAATAAAACTTTATTCTATGTTGTGCCTTTTTTAATTGATCTACCAGTAGCTTACTCAACTTCTCTTTTTCCTTTAATAACTTCTTAATTGTAGACACCCTAGCTTTGCTGCTAACATCCCAAGCAAACCCTGAAAGAGGATAACCATAGAGAGCCTGAAAGGGTATCATTTTCAAAGCAAAATGGTAGATCGAATTATACCACCACTTTGCTAAAGATAACCACTAAGCCCATGTTTTTGGTCTAAAGAAACACATATAACGTAAATATTGTTCTAAAAACTGGTTTTCAGATTATCCATCAAACTTAAGATGATACGTTGTGCTCAGATGTACAGAAGTTTCTAACATCTTCATTAGTTTCTACCAAACTGAACCAACAAAAACTTTGTCCTTATCAGATATCACTGATTTTGGTGTCTCATAAAGTTGTGAATTTGGTTAAGATATAGTTTAGCCACATCTATAGCAGTATAGAGATGAGCTAAAGGCAAGAAATATGCATACTCAGTGAGTTTATCAATAACAACCATGATGCAATTAAATCTTTATGACTGGGGTAAACTTTTCATAAAATCCATAGTAATCATTTCCCAAACTTGATTAGGAATAGGTATAGGTTGTAGCAAACCTGGATAAGTAATATGTTCATCTTTGTTCCTCTGGCAAACTTCACATTGTTGAACATATTCTTGTACTTTCTTCATCATTCTTGACCAGTAGAAATAAAGCCTCAGTCTGTAGTAAGTTATTTGCATTCCAAAATGTTCACCTTAAGGAGAATCATGCAATAGCTATAGTACCTGATCACTTAGTGGTCCTTGGCTTCTTAGATACACCTTACCCTTAAACGTGAACACTTCATTAGTGAATGAGTATTAAGGATCATCACCAGGTTTAAGTGTAAGAAAAGTAATTTTTTCTTGAGCCAATGCATCATTTTCATAACTCTACTCCACTTCAGTAACCCATTTTGGAATAATGGTTGTAAAATGTAGAGCTTGCAAGCTTCCTCTTTCTTCATGTTGCCTTGAGAAGGCATCTACCACTACATTCATCTTACCTTTCCTATACTAAATGGTATAATTCAAGCCTAATAACTTAGTTAATCCTTGTTTTATATGGTTATGGATAATTTTTGCTCTAACAGATATTTTAAGGACTTATGATCTATTTTGATGATGAATGACTTTTCTTTCAGATAGTGCCTCCATTTAGTAACAACCATTAAAATGGCCAAATACTCCTTCTCATATATGGATAAATCAACATGTCTTGGTCTTCAAGCCTTACTTAAGTAAGTAGCAGGCCTTTTTTCTTGGGATAAAATTGTTCCTAGACCAGTCAAGCAAGCATCAGCTCTAAGCAAAATGGTTTCGAAAAATCTGGTAAGGCTAGTACTAGGGCTGTACTCATGGTTTCTTTAAGTTGTTGAAAAGATGTCACTGCTTGAGACATCCAATTAAACCCATTTTTCTTCAACATGTCTATTAAAGGCTTACTAATAACTCCATATCCTTTGATGAATTTCTTTTAGTAACCAGTCAGCCCCAAAAACCCTCTTCAAGACTTCAAATTGCTAGGTAATGGCTAATTTTTCATAGATTTCACCTTAAAAGGATCTGTTGCCACTTCATCCACAAAGATAATGTGACCAAGATATTCAACCTATTTTTGGTTAAAAAAGAACTTGTTTCTTTTTACAAACAGCTAATTACACCTTAACATTTTAAAAACAACTTGTAAGTGTAACACATGTTCTTGTAAAGTGGTACTATAAACAAGTATATCATCAAAGAAAACTAGCATAAATTTCCTTAAATAAGGAGAAAAAACAACATTCATCAGGGATTAAAAAGTAGCTGGAGCATTAGTAAGCCCAAATGGCATTACCTTAAACTCATAATGCCCATGGTGTGTCCTGAAAGTTATTTTTAGAATATCTTCATCTCAAACTCTAATATGCCAATAACCTGATCGTAGATCAATTTTGAAAAAAAATTTAGCTCCTCTAAGTTCGTCTAGCAAATCTTCTACTACTGGAATGGAAAATTTATCCTTGACTATCACTGCATTGAGTTACCTATAATCAACATAAAGCCTTCATGAACCATCTTTTTTTTTAACTAATAAGCAAGGTGAGGCAAATGGACTCCTACTAGTTTGGATAATCGATGAGGAGAGCATTTCAAAAATATATTTTTCAATTTCAATTTTTTGGTAATAAGAAAACCTGTAAGGTCTGAGGTTTACAGGCTAAGCTCCTTTCGTAAAAAGTATATTGTGATCATGAATCCTCTTAGGTGAAAGCTTAGTTGATTCTGTAAAAATGTTTGAATATGTAAGCAACAGTTTTTATAATTCTAGTGGAACTTCTTCATCTTCTTTACTTTTCATACTGATCATATAAAATTCTCTCACTAGTTCATGTTCCTTGTTTACCTGTTTCTGTAACTTTTGACTAAAAATAAGTTTGAATTCTAGTTGTTTATGACTTCTTATCGATACCACTTGTTGCCCTTCCTTTTGAAATGCTATTAATAAGTTATTAAAATCAAATACCATAGGTTTGTACTTTTTCATCCAGTCAACACCAAGAACTATATCACTACCCCTCATTGGCAAAACTCTTAAATCATGTGTAAACATGTGACCCTGTATCACCCATGCTAACTCTTTGCACTTGGCATTATCGTAAAGGCTTTCACCATTAGCTACTGTAATGGTTAATGGTTTAGTTTGTTCAATTCCAATGCCATCCTTAGCCCATTTTGGAGTAACAAAGCTGTGAATACTGCCACTGTCTATAAGGATGGTAAATGATTTCCCTCTTATAGTTTCTGTAATTCTGATGGTACTATACCCCATACTTCTTGTTATAGCATTTATGGATATCTGTAGTTTTTTAATAGTATCTAGCTCTGCTATCATTTTTGGTTTCATATCCTCTTTAAGATTACCACAGTCCTCATCTTTAGTCATCTCATCAGCTTCAATAGCATTAAGTTGTTTGAACTTACATATATGTCCAAGATAAAATCATTCACCACATTTGCTTTCAAATTTAAGAGACAATTCATGTAGCTTGGCCTGTCTGTATACAACAGTAAGGTTACCAGGCTCATTTGCTTTAACCCGAAGCTTTAAATCTTTTTTAAGCCAACCGATAAAGTTGGAAACAAAATATTTTTCTGTTAAATGAGGATTAAACTGTAACATATAAGGTTTTAATTCCTCAAATTTCTCCTGATACCCATCCACTGACTTTTTTTTGTTCAACTTATTAAATTCCTCTACAACATTAATGTAGACACCCTATTTTGTTTGAGGTTCTTTGTTAATCGAGACTAATCTAAGCTCGATTGTAGAGATTTTTATTCATATTTATTTTAGATTTTTTTATTTTTGTATTTATCATTTTTGTTTTTTTATGGTCTATCTATTATTTAATTTTTTTTTCTTTTTCCATTATCTGATTAATTTAAAAAAAAAAAGTTGAAAGAATAAGATTATGATTGATACTAATTTTTAGCTTTGGGTGATAATCAGAATTGCACTAAAACTCAATCACATAGTTTTATAAATGATTGCAATTTACAGCAAGAAGGATAGCAACAAGAAAAGAGAGATTACAGAAATACAAGGGAATCATCAAGTATGTTGAGCAGACACGAGCTTTGTTTCTTGCGAACTTGAATAAATTTCACCGTCTAATTGCTTTAAGTTTATGAAAGATCTCGTTTACGGGAAAGTGGCCAGACGTAAACGATAACAGAACAGGGAATAATCGAAAAAACACAAAAAACAGAAGCAAAAGCTACAAAAAACTAAAGGGACACCTAGGAGAAGCCAAAAAAAAATTATCGCTGCTGCAGAAAAGAGTGAAAATAAAAAACCTTTGTTTCTTCTTCATCTTTAGAGTCTATCTTATTCCTCTATTTGCTTCTTTTTCAATCCCAAATCTCTATTGGATCGTCGAGTTCTAGTCTTACTCAATGATTTCTCGCTCAAATCATCTCACTTCATTTTTTTCAGCTCCTTAAAATCTCATGGCTTTAACCTCGAATTCAAACTCGCCCACGATCCGTCTCTTTCTCTTCTTTTCTTTCTTCGAAAAGTTTGGTGGACCTTTGGATTTGGCAACGGTGAATGACTTCGCTGACTCAAGTCACAACTTGATAGTAGCAGCTGATGTGTTTGCATCTGATTTGATTAAGAACGTTACTACTGAATGTGGAGTTGATTTCGATAAGGATTCATCGACAATGGTTATTGATCACAAAAGCTATGTAACTTTTGGAACTAAAGATGACCATACGTTGATTGCTAGTGATGATTTTATCCAATCTGATGTTGTTTTTGGAAAAACCAAAATCGAGGCGCCAATACTTTTTAAAGGGATTGCACATTCAATAAATATGGCTAATGGCCTAATTTTAAAGGTGTTTTTTGCATCTTCTTCAGTTTATTCTACTAACCCAAAATCCAAATTGTTGAGGCCTCCATTGCTTACTAGATCTACCATTTCGTTGGCCTCAGTTGTGCAAGCTAGAAATAATGCTCGGATCATGATCACTGGCTCCCTAAATTTGTTCAGTAACCAGCTGTTTAAAACTACTATGCACAAAGCTGAGAGCCTGTTTAAATTTGAAAAATCAGGTAATGAGCAGTTTGTGATAGAAATTAGCAAATGGGTTTTTCATGAAAGGAGGCACTTGAATCCGAAGTAGTTCGATCTGTTGTTTACTTGAAATCATGTTGAAAACTGTGGTTGGAGAAGAAACACAACTCCAGCTAGCTGAGGATCGTTTCGCCCAATCTTCAATTCCTGCCCAAGTTGGTTTGGTGATAGAGAAACTCAGCGCCACTCTCGATCGAGGCTTCGTGTTCGATTCAATACCCACTTCTCAAAACGATGCTGGACAACTAGCTTGTTCGATTTTGAAGCCAGCTAAAGACAATAAGAAAAATGGTTCGAAACCTAAATTTTAGATATTCGATTCTTCCTCTTTGGTCATTGACAAGGATTGGGTCATTGAACATGCTCGTCGAATGTCAAGAATGATGGTGGGTGGAATCAAAGTAGTGGGTATTTATGTGTGGGCTAGTGAGGTCACGTTCAAGAATTCTACCATGATGCTTTGTCAGACTGTAAAAGGAGTTGTAGAAGCAGCATCCTTTTTGGAAGATGACATTAATGAAAGATTACCTATTCACATATGTTATAATCCAAAACCTGCTGCTGAGCCGAGTTGAGCCGCATCCTCTAAGCTGTTTCTTTTAGTCGATTTATGTGTTTGGAGGTCACGTTAACCCTCCAGCCGAATCGTTTCAATTTTTTTTTGGTATTTTTTTAATTTTTAATTTTTGTTTTTTTTTTGTAGTTTTTTATTTTTTTATCTATGTGTTTGTTTATTTTTTTAGAATATTTTTTGCATGAATAAAACAAAGAATAAAAAAATATAAAATAAAATTTTCAAGAATAATATTTTTGAGGAAAAGTTGAAAGTATCAATTTTCTTTAAAAATAAGTTTTCTAAAAAATATTTGAAAGCATCAATTTTTCTTGAAAGTAAATTTTTTAAAAATATTTTTGAGAAAAAGTTGAAAGTATCAATTTTCTTTGAAAATAAATTTTCTAAAAAATATTTGAAAGCATCAATTTTTCTTGAAAGTAAGTTTTCTAAAAAATATTTTTGAGGAAAAGTTGAAAGTATCAATTTTTCTCAAAAATAAGTCTTCAAAAAAATATTTTCAAAGAAAAGTTGAAAGTATCAATTTTTTTTGAAAATAATTTTCTAAAAAAGGTTTTTGAGCAAAAGTTTAAAGTATCAATTTTTTTCAAAATTAAAGTTTCAAAAAAATATTTTGGGAAAAAGTTGAAAGTATCAATTTTTCTTGTACGAAAGCAATGAGTTTTTTGAAGAGAAAAAGATTTATACCTAAAGCTGAATCATTTTTTCTTTTTTTTTGTTTTATTTCTTTTCCTTTTTGTTTCTTGAATTTTCTTGAATGATAAATAATCCGATGATAGAGCCTCTGCAAGTAAAACAGTAGTTTCCTTGCATATTCTTGAGGTAAGAAAATTTTTTCAATTTTTTGCTAAAAGTATTAGAGTTAATTGAGAATAATTTTCAATAATTAATCACTTGATAAATTTTTAAGGTTTATTGGATAACACAAAATTAAGCTGATACCATCTTTCGATGGGCGTTGTGAGGGTGCTATAACCTTCCTCACGTAAACGTATTCTCGAACCTTGTTCTGATTAGTAAACCTGAACCTATTCTTTTAGGGACCCTTAAGCTTAGGTGTTCCTTAAAAAGATAGATTCCTTAGGTAGCCAATCGTACCTAGATAAAAAAGATTGGTGAAGACTCCTTCGAGTCAATGTCTAGCAATGAAGATGTTATGACAATTAAAACAAGTTCTATCACAGAACCTTAGACACAGATCACTAGTAAAATGTTTCCAAGTCACCATGTTCTATTGCATAACAAAATCATCAAACCACACTTCAGCTTTTCCAGTCAAATACATAGCAGCAATTTCAAGCTTCTGATGGTCACTAATGGAGAATATAGCAAAATATTTTTGACATTTTTTAAGCCACTCTCTTAGGTTACTACCATCAAATACAGGAAGTTCTATTTTGGGTCTTAGGGCATATACATTTCTTATAGTATTAGAGCTATTCCCAACATCGAAATCACCCCTTTTATATTGTCCAGCACTATTTTGAAATAAATAGCTCTTGTTTTCAAGCTGATTTTTAGCTAAAATTTCAAGTTCATCACTTTTGTAAGTATATTTACCTTGATCATCTATCACAGTAATCTGAACAAGGGCCTTACCTTCTTTTCTAAACTGAGACAATAGAGTAGGTTGATTGCTGGTAGAACTTCCAGCACCTCTTGACTCAGACTGACCAGTTTTTACTCCATGTGGTGATAATAACTCAAGGACTTAGGTAATGTACCTCTGATTTTCAGCTAGCTAAGATTCAAGAATACTCCTATGTTCAAACATCAAATGAATACTCCTTTTATTTTCGACTAGCTTAGCTTCAATGTTACTCCGCTGGGCCTCCCACCATTTTGGTTCTACTTCTATTTTTTCTTCAAGAGCCTAGACTTGTTCCTGTAACTTGGTAAACCTTATGCCTTCTGTCATGAATTTGAATTTGTTTTGCTTACCTAAATTGGATCTAGGAAACTCTAATACCAATATGTTATGTACTAAGTCGATTAAAAGAAAGAGAATTAGATAAATGAAATACCAAACCAGAATTAACAAAAAAAAAGAGAAAATTTGAGAAAATAAAAAAAAATTATAAATTTTTATTTATACTCTTCAATCACATATACAAAATAATTATATTCAATACATGTGCTAATATCATAATTCTAAAATATGTCTAATGCAAATTAAACACATAATAAAAACAATTCAAAAACTAACTAATTATTTATATTCTATCAGCTTTGATAACTATTTTTAATATACTCATTTTTGTTACTCTTTATTATGCGATAACCTAAATATTCCACCACCTTTCCATAATCAACTTCTTCCTTTATTTTAGCGTTTTTAGCCAACTTAACTCTTTTATCTACCTCAACCTTTCTAAGCCCCTCAACTCCACCATGTGAACCTGGCTTCATCGTGTCGATATGACCACAATGCAATTTCATCAAAAAATTGTTCTGAAACACAAAAATTTTCCCTTTTGTCAAAGGAAATTTTCAAAGACAAGGTGGACAACAAGACAAGTGGCATCACCTGCACTGAAATCCACGCCCTCCTTGAAAATATCTTCTCTTACCTGAAAATGACCGCCCTTTATTTGGTGTGAAGGGATAAATATCATTAAAAATACCAATTTACAGCATCAAATTCAAAGTATCAACTGCTCACTTCAATCAACATGACTGACAAGAGACGTATTTGATTATACAATCAACATTCCAGATCCTTCCACAACCTTCACCTATCTCAATTCTGTGGGCTACTCATTATATCTCCCAAGCCCATCACTCTGTTCATTCATTGATTCATTGATTCATTCTAGGACTTTTTTTTTTTTTCCTTCCAAAGTCTCTGTTTTCTCTGCTTTTTGTTGTGAAACTCTAAGTTTCCATGGCTTCTGAAACTGAAGCACCTGAAATTTCTTCTTTGTTCGAAATGTTGTTAAGGCACAGAGACCTCTATTTGTTTCTACCTTTTATATTGGGATTCTCCGACAACAACAGTAATAACAATAATTCAAGAGAAAACGCACAAGACCCAGATCAAGAAGCATCGCAGGAAACAACTTCGCAACGTGAAAGAATAATCCTTGTCAACCCATTTACTCAAGGCATGGTGGTGATTGAAGGAGCTTCAAATTTAGAAGCTTTGCTACGTGGCTGGGCTAACAAAGATGGCCAGCCACCTGCCTCAAAGGCATCCATTGAAGCCATGCCGAGTGTGGAAATTGGTGAAAGTGAAGATGGAGAGTGTGTGGTTTGCTTGGACGACTGGAAGCCTCGTGAGGTGGCAAAGGAGATGCCTTGCAAGCACATGTTTCATGATGAGTGTATAGAGAAGTGGCTTGGAATTCATGGGTCATGCCCTGTTTGCAGGTATAAGATGCCTGTTGATGAAGAAGAGATGGGCAAGAAGAGAGATGAAGACAGGAGAAGATTTGAGAGGGATATTTGGGTTAGTTTTTCTTTTAATAATGGTAGGAGTAGTGAGGATTCCAATCAAGTTCCTTCAACCGATTCTAATAATGTCTCCACTTTAAGTCCTAGGCCCGATGATCATGAAATGGAGGGTTAGAAGAATTGTGTAGGATTTTTTTTTTCTTTATTGTTGCCTTCATTTCAATTTTCTTTTTTTTTTTTTTTTTCATCTTTGTGGGAAGATCATGTACATAGAAACACTTGTTTTTTCCTAAGATCTGTTGATGAGTATAAATAAATCTATACTTTTGTTAGTGCTATCTCTTGGAAATTATTTCTCACGTAAATAATACTTAAGTTTCTTTCTTGCATGTAAGAATATTCAAGGAAAGAATATATAGAAGAAGAAAAAAAAGCACCCTAAATAGCATGTTAATTAATTTTATTTAGTTGTCTGTAAATTTGTTCAGCATACAAATGTAGAGTTGTCAAGGGTTTTGTTGGGTACTGAATGAAGAATAAATGCCTTCCCTTTCTCTCAGGATTTTGATCCCCTGATATCTTCCTAGCATTAGAAGGGTCGCCATTGGATTTGTACCTGGTGATTCCAGGAAAGTTGAGCCATCAACAACTCTCAATCCCTTCACTCCATAAACCTTGTAATCATTGTCCACAACTGATCCAACTGTGCAACCTCCATGGTAGTGGTAGTAGGTCCTCACATTCTCTTTGCAGAATTGTCTGTGCTCATCGGTGCTAGTCATCAAGTTATTTTGATGTTTGACACCAAGGTAGAAGGCAACTGATTGAGACTTTGCTACTCGTTCAAGCAAATGTACCATATTTGCACAGTCCTCCAAGTCCCTTTCTTCTGCTAGATAGTTGAATTTCACTGAAGGGTTTTGCCTAGGGTCAGTACTGTTTAATTCAAGGTTACCTTCTGATACTGGAAAAGCAATCTTGGCTGCTATGGGCATTCTTGTTGCATTGAAACTAATAGGTATAATTCCTCCTTCAATTATGAATTTGAAGTCTTTTGCAATCCCTGAAACTTGAGGGGGCTCTGGTGTCTGATTTTGTGGATCTTTGTCTACCAAAACAGCAATGCAAGGATTATCTTTCATCCTTTTTCCAACTCCTTCCAAGTTTAGCACATGTGGAATGTTGAAGTTCTTGAGGTCTTTAGGAGGTCCAATGCCACTCAATAATAGGATTTGGGGGCTACCTAATGCTCCGGCTGACAAAATCACTTCGCCACATGAAGTAGAATTCTTGGGTTGATTGAGATAGGCTTCGTATGTTTGATCTGTGCAGCCATCACTCTTTATGAACCTTATGCCATGGACTGTTGTCTCAGTTATGTTGCCTGCATGCATATAAAACAGTCAGATAGGCTTCAATAATTTCATTTCTCAGTTGGAACATTTCTGAACAAGCAATAGTTAAAGGTAGTGATAGCCCTTTGTCTATGTTGAAGTACTGTCATCTAACTTCTCCTTACCATTCCTATGGAAGATGATGTTTTTTACTGTTGCATTCAAAAGAACTACTAAATTTTTGGGATTTGCTGCCCTGAGAAGATCAGCTGAGGTGTGCCTTATGCCCCATATATCAAATATACTTCCACCAATCTTTGTGCCCTCTATGTGTTCTAAACTAAAGCCATTATAAGGTAGAATTCCAGCTTCAAGAAGACCAAATTCAACAACAGTCTGCCATGGTGTCAATTCAGGTGTGGAGACTATTTTAGATTCCACCCATGTATAAGCATCCTTAACCAACTCCTCCTCCCAGCCAGCCTTGTTGACAAAATCCTCACTAGCTCGACTGTAAAACCCCCCATTTATAGCTGAAGATCCACCAAGTACCCTTCCTCTGCAGTTCCTAACACCATCTGTGGATATGAAGTCTTGTGCTACTGATGAAAATTCATCATTCTGAATCAATGAGAAACCATAAAAGGTTTTATCCAACACGAAGGGATTACCATAAGGTGATCCACCTCGTTCCACCAATAGCACTGAGAATTTCTCGGACAAGGTTGCTGCCAGGGGGCAGCCAGCAGTGCCTCCGCCTACAACAATGTAATCAAAGGATTTACCTGCAACTTCTTTCACATCTGAGGTCATGTAAGGAAGCTCTCCTACAATGCAGAAGGTTAATAATATTAGTATAACCAATGGTTAAGGCTTCCAAATGGAAATTCTACTCACAAAAGAAACACCCCTTTGGGCGGTGGCATACCTTGAGGCTGTGAGAGAGAACACAAAGACAAGTCAATAAGCAAGATGCTAAATGCTTTGAGAAGCCTGTCACGGCGGATAGTTTTTTGGAACTTAATGTTTGATGCTTCCATTTCTTGGTTCTGGCTTAAGGAGGATTGGTGGACAATTTATGTTAAATCTGTGTGGGCTCCATAATTATGTGATCCTCTCAGGCCTAACGGCATAAATAGATTGAAGTTGGTCAGCACAATAAGCATGGTTTAGCTAATGATTTGCTCTTGTTTTGGTGGAAACTTACAAAATAATTTTGCGGCGATGATGGTTTCTGCTCCTTCAAGTTTTATTTAGCCATTTGCTTTTTCCCTTCCAATATAGAAGAAAAAGGAAAAGGCATAATCATACCCCTGAAATTAGAAAAACTCAACAAGCATTTAGATGAAGAGTAAAATATAACCATGTTCTGGAAGACCTCGGTGATTGACTTGATCACCAGAGATTTGAGTTTTCAAACCCACTTCAACGAAGCATTATAGGTAATATTGGTATTGGCATCAGTCAGATTTCCAAGTTAGAGAAGGAGAATAAATGAAAGTTGTCTCTGCAAAATATACATTATACCTTCTTTTGATACCAATATTCTTTCAAAAGTTCATTGAGTTAATACATATAAATCATTTACATAGTTTATGAACAAAAGATTGGTTCTAAATAATCAAGTTCACTGCTTGCACTATATTACTAACAACCATACAGCAGAAAAGTTCCAAACCATGCCCATTGAGCTGATCTATTCCCAGCAGTTCAAGTCTATCGCTTTTGAACCTGATTCAATGTCATTGTGGCATTGGCTGTTGAGATCAAATGACCCCAACAATCCAGACTCTCTCAATCGACTACCAGTTTCCTCCTCAAGAAGCTCTAACCTTTTAGCTAGTGGTTGCTCAACACATATACCATCAGAAATGTTACTCCTACTTCTTTTCTTTCCATTAGCTCGATTGCTTGAACCACTAATCAAAGGCTTCTTTTCTGGGTGAATGTCCATAAAGGAAAGTTCAACTAAAGAATTAGAAATCCGGGTACAAATATTCTCATTTTTTGGTGGATCCTCGTCCTTATGCCCCAAGCTTTCAGAAGATGTCAATGAGCTATCCATGGAACATATGGTACCTCTCATTGGCTTTCTTTCTATTTCTTTTAAGCTTGAACCTCCTACTTCTGTCAATTCTGAATGTGACGAACTTGTGCAGCCAGTGTTAACCATTGAGACTAGTTGAGAGAGTTCAGCTTTAGCAAGTTCTACACCAACAGACGAGGAGGTATACCCAGTCAGTGTTTCTTGGGCTTTCTTTAATACAGTTTGCAAGTATTTTCCTTGAGCTTCAATTCTTAGCTGTAAATGTCTCTGGACCTGAAAATGGAAAAATAACCTGACTGATATGCATTGATATGTCAAGAGAAAATCAGCTATTTAAATTGTGATTGTTTTTTCTTTCTGGCCATAAATTGGGATTGTTTTAATAGTTCATACTTCATACCTCAATCTGTTCATGAAGCTTCATCTGCACTTCCATCTGCATTTGGAGAGCCTGAGCAATCTGCAAGCTTCTGATGAACACAATAATTAGACTGTCAATACAATCTGTTTCATTATCATTTCTATCCAAAAATTTGTCAAAAGGTATAGGATCCATGTATAACTATTACTCATTCGTCTGGTTTTGAGTTCCATCACTCATGTCACTACTGAAATTCCCATTGCTGCTCTGGATCTCTCTGTAATCTGTATAACAAGAATGAAAAAGAAAAGAAAAAAAATGAATATATTGTTGTAAAACTCAAACATATGAATTTAAACGCAACAAGCAATGAATTCTTAATCTCACCATCTTGTTTATTGCTAAGGCAGTTTTCTGCCTGTTGGCTTTTCCCTAGCCTGTATTTCTGCAAGAAGGAAATATAGCTAAAGCTTGTTTTCTTTCTTATTTGGTTGGGGTAAAGTAATTGATAGCATGACCATATAATGAAGAGTAAATGCCTGTAAATGGCTTTTAAGATGATACAAAGTGAGTCCAGAAATTCCCATGACTCTCATCAGACTCTTTGGTGTTGCTTCTGTCCATAAATAAACACAAAGAAACATGAATAAATTTTATACATACAAATAACAATATGATTAGACAAGCTGATGATGATTATTAAGGTTATCTTAAAGTGTTATACTTAACTGTCTGCCCCTCCAAGTTGATTGATCGCTTCAACAAATCTTTGATGAAGTTCAGGTGTCCACTTTAGCCTAGGCTTTGCATCAGCTGACAGAACCAAATTCATGTTTTGGGTTTGCATATTTAGCAGACCCATGTTTTTTGTGTTGTGTAAGAGAGATAGGCAGAGGGAGGTAGAAAACTGAAACTCATATGTGGGTTTTGATCCCTTTTTAGTTGGCTATGCTTTCAATATGCAGCAGCTGTAGTTCTCTTTATAAATTTTGGAGTTGTTGGGCTGTCCTATGATCTTACTCCATATCAGGAAACATAGGTGGGGTTGTGTTGGGGAGGGAATATATGCCATGAGCTGTGGCTCCTCCTTTTTCTCATCTCTGATAACCTTTTTTTTTATTTAATTTTTCTTCTTTCTTCTTTGACTTGAAAGGGGGGGGGGGTGGATTGAGAGAATCTCTGATGCAGCAAAAAACAGAAAAGCAAAACAGTTCAATTTGAGTCTCAAAAGGAGAGAAGAGGAAAAGTGCATGGTTTGTTTTTATCTTACTGTTTTCCCAATCCTCTCTCCCCCTCCCGTCTTCACATTTTCTTCTCTTTCTCTGCTTGATTCCCTTGCTGAGTTAAGTAGCCCCACCATGATGAATAATGGATGCAACTTTCCAAACACAATGAGAAACTTTCAAGGAAAAATAAAGAGTGAGAAAATTAAATTGACAGGAAGGCTATAATGGATACTTATTTCCTTTTAATGACTGAAAGTGAAAACCAATTGGCCAATGTCTCTTTTCTCCTTTGTTTTTATATTTTCCTTTCTTGAGGAGGGTGTGGTGTGACTGGCAGATTCTTTTTGTTCTTTGTATGGATGAAGGAATCAAAGAATCTAATATTAGATTTTTGGACCCAGCTGACCCTATTTTTCTTATAAAGAAAGTAGTCTAGAAAAAGTGAATCAAATCAGGCCATCTTATAGATAACAGACACACAACTGAGGTGTGAAAATAACCCCATACTATAAATTCTTCCCTGGAAATTGAACCAGAAGGAGACACAATTTTGTAAGATTATCCCATTACGGGAGAATCTCTCAGGTGCTTGGTTTTTTATACAGACTGTCATTAGGACCGACAGCTTGACATTCGACTCCATTTGCAACTTGAGTTTTAACTTTTCGAACATCTACCAATACCATCCAAGTGGCATCTGAAGTAAATTTCAATATATCATCTGAGATCAGGTGTAGGCCACGCACGACATAATAACTTCTTGACAAAATCCTTTGGGACAGAGTAGTTTTCTATGTACTGCATGTTGATTGGTTTAATCCCCAATCTTTTGAAACCTGTCAATAATTTTTAGCATCAGGTTTTGCTTCCTTTTTAACCTGATGATCAGGCTCAAACAAAAAGTGGGAAAAGGCTTATAATCCAGGCGACTGCACCAGATGCAACTTCAACAGGCTTGAAGTTATTTAGACAGGGATTCGATAATTATTACACAATGCTAACTTGAATCGGAGCACCCCCCCCCCCCTTTTTTTTTCTTTGTCTGGAAGATGTAAACACAATGAAATGACAAAAAGCTCCACATAGTCTTTAGATGCACTCTTTCTCCCAGTATGAAAGCAATCAACAAGACTCATTCTGCTAAAAGTCCATAAAGAAACATATTCCAAAGAGAGTGCTAGCTTTAAATCTGTAACCCATATACAAGCAGACCCGAAGGAAAGGAAGTTTCATACAACAAAAAAAGGAAGGAAATAAAGAAAAGAAGGAAAGATAAAGGGAAACCACAGTGGCGAACAACAATCATAAAAGTCAATTGAATCAGATTAATCTTCAGATTTCTTGGGCTGCGGTCAAGAGTTAAATTACTGGAATCAAAATCCAATGATTGAACTCCAAAGTATTGCCATCTTAGTGCCATACATTCAGTTGGTCTCCTAAATCAATAAGCCATTTTCCAGGATTCAAAGGTAAGGAAGATTAGATGCAAAGATTTATTTTATTCAGGCAACCAGAAAAGCAATAGGCTGCTTTAATTAATTAAAGAAGTAGAAGTTATGTCCAAGGTTTTCTCTAGGATTGCTTGAATACATGCCTTTATTAATGAAAGATCCCAAGCAGTTGACTAACTACAATTTTATAAACAGTTAGTTGGATACAATTCAGCGAACTTAGAGTGGAAAGTCCACTGATGAGATTGTTACTATCATCATTCTGTTCAACAAAAAATTTTACAATGAGATAAACATGGCGGGCGAACAAGTGGTGGGTCCATCTTCACACCAAGAGGGGTTCTTCCTGAGTAAGAATCAGCTTCTTCTTTCCTTGAACTATAATTCTTCATTGGCAAGCTCAGAGTTCATATTCAAAGAAAGGAATAAAAATTATTGACAAGTTTTTATGATATGTGGCCCGAATGTTTGAAAAACAAGAAAAGAAGAGTTATTGAAGTACCTTTCTCTTTAACCAGCTGCTGTACTTGAACCTCCTTTCTTGCTTTAATATATTCCACAACAGATAAAGGAGATTCTGGGATGATGCCAACCGGCCCCTGGTATATTTAGGTCAGTAGCAGAAGGTCCAGTGAATCGAAAGTCATACAAAAAAAGGTGCCTCATCAATTATTATTCTTTAAGGGACCCATTAGAAGAGATCTCATAAATCCGGAAGCATGGAATAAGATGAGAAGAATATGGCCTCAGGAATCTAGAAAAGAGAAACAAAAGGAACTAGTCGCAATCCAACTAAAGCATCAATGGAAATTTCAGCTGAAATATTATGTCAAGCATAGTCACTCAACTAAAAATGACGTTAGCAATATGTCACAAATCAAATTTATTTCTCCAATCATCTTAGGTGATTGACTGTAGTCTTTTGTGATAAGAAAATAACAAGCATGAAACATCACATGTTCAAATGACAGTTGAATGTTTCTCCAACATATCAATCAGTAAATACCATCACTAAAGTACAGAGTTAAAAAAAGCTACAAACACAAGTACCCACAGTTATAAATATTTATTGATAATGACCTGCCACTAAAAGACTGTTGTACCCTTCGAGCTTGATTTCTCGTTTTGATTGAGTTTAGAGGTAGTTCATGTAGCTGTCTCATCTCCAAGACTATTCAAGCCCTCTTGGTGCTTAAATACGGTCTTCATTTGTTTTATAACGGTTTTTCTCTTCTCTTCTTCCACTTGAAGGAATGGTGGTGTATAATTCAGTGTTTTAGAGGTTTAACTCCATGTCCTTGTTTCACTAGGAAATGTATATAAAGTCACAAATAAAGAATAAAAAATTAAAAAAGAAGAAAGCAAAAGCAGCAATACACCTGCAAAACCGGAAAAAGTTTTCATTTATTGGAAAATGAAAAGTAAAAACTCTGCCTTATACAGCCTAATAAACAATTTTAGAATCTGATAAAGAAAGGGATAGCCGTTCACATTTTTTTTCTTGCTGAGTGAGAGAACATTACGTCTCGAATAAAAGATTTCTACTCAAACGCATCCCAGCGCTTATCGCTGGAGCTAGTTAAGCCCAAGTGGTGCCATTCAGATAATTATACTATACCAAATAACATGCCTTTCTTAATTTTATGGATAGAGATTTAAAGAAACCCTCACTGGAATATCTTCCAAATGTAGCATATGACACCATCATAACCTTGCTAAAACAGTTATCACCAACAATAAATCAGACTGATTTTTCAAATTTATTCATTTCTAACAGTAAGAGTAACAAAAAATTAAATTGTCTGTATTAATCAATACCCTACCACACTGTCAATCAAGAGCTACAACAGTTATGAAGGTTGAGGAAGTAATATGTCTTAATGGTTAAAGCGCTGAATAAATCAACAGTAGAACTACAAACTTTGTTGCATTTATAATTTTCTTCTCTAGAACGAGAAAAGGAAATGACAAATTTCGTCATGTGTAGATAAATACATGAGTAATAAATAAAGCAAATTATAGGTTCATCGAGCAGCTAAGCATATACAAAGTTCTCCACCTATCTGGCTTATAAGTGGTAGAGATGATTGCTTTCTTCACCAAGCCAGTAAATGTCGAAACTGCCTCACTAAATGAAGCCCTATTTGTAGATCTATGCAAGGCACAACATCTTTGTCCAAGACCCCACAACATGATTGATAGAGACAAAGTAAAATCATGCAGAAATATTCCTTCAAATAATACAAGCAAGTCATTTCTGACAAAATGGTATTATCCAACATCAAGTGTCCACTTAGTTGACATGACTTAACCCAACACATAGCTTGCTAAGCAATATGGAAAGGGGAAACCACAGAAAATTGGAGAGAGAAGTGCTTCATAAAACTAGACTAGTGAGAAAGAGCAGTGTCATGGTAAGTTAATTTTGGGACACTTAGTTTTATTTTATACTAGACTCGAGTTACAAAGATGTTGCATTTCTAGGAATGATAGCAGCCCATAAACAAAAGCAGTAATTCCAAAGAGAAAACTTGCTTGATTGACTTAAGTAACAGTCAGTGCACAAACAGATCCAAAGTGCAATTTAATTCCCTTTGATAGGTGAGATTTCATCCACTGTTGTTTCCTATTAAGAGACTGCCCCTCCTTTCTGAGAATCATCCTTCCGAGAATGTTATTACTAGCTACTTAAGTAAAATTAGTGGGATAATGGTTCTTTACTGATCCATGGAGAAAGAGGGAGCATATTTCCTAAGGTGAACAAGGTAACTCAAGAGGATAAGGTTAGTGCCTATAAAGAGACTCATCAATTCAAACTAGCAGTAAAAACAGATTATTGGTATCTCGTATTTTCCTATTGACACCATAGCTCTATGACTTGTGTGAAAAAAAGTCATTTATCACGGAAAGTGCCAAGATGAATGTGGGGAAAGAGTACCTAAAACTTAAAACCTTGCAATTACTGGGGTTTGGAATAGTCATCATTTAAATTTGTTTTTCTTTCCTTCATTTTCTTTGCAGCTGGAAGTAACATAAGCAAAAACTTAATTGTAGAACTAATAGAATAACAATAGTGTCCTCAATTGGATTTTCTAAACCAAGTTTTAAGTTCTAGGTTTAGTTTTACATACACAAGCCCACATTATGAAGGTAATAATTTGGCTCTTGGGTTTCCCATAGCAATGTATGCCTATGAGATTCTTGGACCCCCATGGCAAGACAAGCTAGGAAACTACTCCAGAAGGTTCGTCACAAAAAAGCCCAAGCTGTTCTAGAGAACAGAAGGGATTTTTTTTTTTTTTAATGAATACAATCTTAATCCTCGTTTGTCAAATTTAACCTTGAAGGATGCAAGGGTTAGTCTATATGCATGCATGTGTCGATTTCTTGCTGCAAAGGGTGAAAAAGCAAGAGAATGGAGAGAGCAAGTAAATATAGAAAAGGAATTAGTTGCTACAGAAGTTTTTTGTTAGGTATTGCCCTGCTTACAAGGCCTTATCTTTTAACACTTAGACATGGGATAACTCAGTTTGTAGTAAAGCAAAGAAAGTTTTTATCATTTAGTTGGATGCAGTAATCTAAGAGGCTCTCGTTCTCAGCTAATTTAAAATCTTATGATACTTGGTCATATTCATAAATAAAATACTATGTTGAATCAGGTTAATCAGGATCAGTGGCAAGTCAAAACCAGGATTTCAAGTTAAGATTTGCCGTTTACATATCATCATGCTCAACCCTAATATGGGACTAGGCTCTACAGGAGAAAACCTCTAACCTTTTCCAGTTCGAACTTAAATCAAAGTTCTAATATATATTCTTCTGAAAGGAAAAACATCTGAATTTCATTATCCAAAA